TGAATAGCTGCTGTAGGTGACAAGGTGTAATCATCCCTGGCAGAGTGTTTAAGTGTTTGTGCTTTGTGGTGACTTCATAGTTGATGGCATTTTCCACTTTCCCTCACTCTGTTTTTTAAACAAGTAATTCTGCAGCCTGATGTGCACAATTGAATTAACTAGATATTTAGAAGTTGATAGCTGGACTTTGCAACTTCAATCAGATTTTCTGAAGTTTGTCTGTGTTTTATGACATCCTCACAAGGTTGTAAGCTGTGGCCAGATTTGATGCACAATTCCAAACAACAGAGAAATGGAAAAGAGAACTTATTTTCACCGAACATTCACCCTTATGGGTATCTTCCACAGTGTGTGTGTGTGTGTGTGTGTGTGTGTGTGTGTGTGTGTGTGTGACTGTCTGTCTGTCTATGCATGTGTCTGTGTGTGTATGTATATGCCTGTGTGTATATTTGTATGTGTATGTCTGTGTGTGTATGTGCATATGTCTCTGTATGTATCTGTGTACATCTGTGTGTGTGTGTGTGTGTGTGTGTGTGCGTGCCTGTATTTGTATATGTTTAATAACAATAGCATGAGAACTTGCAGTGGAAATTACTTTTAAAGGAACATTCCACTGACTTGTATGAAATTCTTTAATAAGCTGATTAAGGTGACAGGTGAGTTCTTCTGAGAGCACACATAAGAAATAAAGTAGTATTATAAGCATAAGATAGGAAAGGAAACAGCTTTGAATAAGTGGGGAAATGCAAAAGTAATATCAAATAAAGAGCAAAGCAACTTGGCTGCAAACCTCCCATCCCCTCAAGTTCTATGTTTCTAGAGCCTGAGGAAAGTATTCCTGCTACTTGGAATTTTAGAGATTTCTCTCTGGTGATGTGGGGAGCTCTGGAATCAGGGACAGGGACAACAGAAATACCTCTGTGGATATCTGATTCATCCATGGCAACCGCTAATATGCATGGAGAGAACATGAGACACCCTGAAAGGAGAAATGTAGGAGATACTGTCTCCTGGTGACAGAAGAGAATTTGTGGGTTCCAAGAGAAAACCTACATTTTTGAGGTTCCATGGAGTGTCATGGTGACCAAAAATGCCCCCAGCCCAAGTACTGAGTTCCTGGAGCATGATTAGAAAGTAGGATTCCCAAAGGGTGCTCTATTGAGGGTGAGTCCTAATATATGTTTGTTTTGGGCACCAAATGTTGGGCAGATTTAAAAAAAAAAGGAAGTCCACGAATGCCTGAATAAAGAATAGCAGATGCTTATTTGAGGAACACTCATACAATGCAGGTAAATAATCACCATGGTCTTCTTCCCCTGAAGCCACCTAATGCTGCAATGCAAGATGCTCAGACCACCACCAAAGAAAGACAAGGCCCCTCCTCTTCCTTATAAGGGATCACACCGAAACCACACCCTATGGCCAGTACCTCAAATCTATTAGTGGAACAAGATGCCACTCAGATGTTAAGTGAGAACTATTAGCATAGCTCTCATGGTCAGAGAAAGTTGGGAGGTGGCATAAACAAGAATACTTCTAAAGCATTTAAGATGCGTAGTGAAATTCTCTGCATGGTCACCCTACCAGGCACCAGAATTCCCGAGACTCATTTTTAGGACCATTACTTCAGATCTTGGTATGGCAAAGAGATAACGCTTGGAATTTTTGCAGAAATGACTGAAAGACCTAAGTATATGTTAACCTTTTAATTTTGTCCATTTTAAAAATTAAAAAAAACAAGTTAATCTTTTTGTTTTGAAAATTCTTTCCTAGAAAGAATTCTTTAGAAAAATAAATTTGAGGCAGAGGTGATAGCTCAGTGGTTAAGCATGCTCAGGCATCTATGAGGAACATGGTTCAAACCCCCCAGAATCCACATCAATATTAATTAGGTGGGCAGAGTGACACATTGTAATTTCAGTCTCAGAAGGTAGAGACAGAGGATTTCCCCAGAGTAAGCTGGCTAGTGAGACCCGTATCAATGAATCATAGATGTGATTGCTCCATTGAATTATGTTCTCAGAAAAGTGAATGGGAATAATTTCTGGCATCATTGTCTGATGTTCAAATGTACACACACACACACACACACACACACACACACACTAGAAAGGGGTAAAAATTTAAAAATAAAGCAAGTTTTTGTGGCACCCAGAGGCATCAAACAGTCTGCAGGTATTTCTCCCAAGGCAAGAAGCAGTCAGTCACTCTTCCAGAGTACCTCATCCCTGGAGACAAACATCCCTGTTGAGACTTAAGCAGTGTGGGAGCTTAGAGGCTAAGGATTCATCCTACAGCACTTTCCCCATGGTGCAATCATGACAAGATTCAGTGGATGGGAGGCAAACTGAGAAGCATTTGGCATTCCACAGCAGGAAGTTAGAAGCCCCCGTGCTTGTTATTAATTAAGCCTTGAGTACCCTTTATTGAAATGGAAGTGTGTGGTGGGTGTAGCCATAGAGTATAAGACCTGAATTCTAATCCTAAAAAATAAAAATAAATCTTAGAGATTGCAGAACCTTCAAAAAGGGCCCTTCTTTGAACTTCAGGGTTTCTGTTGTTGGTCTTTCAGGGAGCTGGTTGGAGGAAAAGCACACAGCTTCCTTTGAAGAGGGTCCCCCACCCTGTGAACCTTCAATTCACCTTCCCTTTCCCCAGTGATGACACAAAACCCTGGACTTGCTGGGAAACGAGTGAAGGGCCCAGGGTCTGAAGATTTTGTGGAGCTTGGGTCCCTTGATCTTAGGGTCCGGTTCTGATGCCCATGAACTCAGCTGCAGCAGCTGAGGCTGTGGGATTTCACACCTGCTAGATGCCCCTCCCCGGCTTCAAGTTTTGCCAGCTGCTTTCCCTCCACCATCTACATTTTGGATGCCATGGAACACTGAGAAGCATACAATAAAGAAAATACTTTTTTCCTGGAGTTTGTGAAGGGTTCACTTTTTATAAATGTCACAGTTTTCTTCACAATCCCCAATAATGATCAACACACCCTTTCTTTAAAAAAAGTGAGCCAAGAGCCAGGTGACATGGCACATGCCTTTAGTCCTAGCACTTGGGAGTCAGAGACAGGCAGGTCTCTCTGAGTTGGAGGCCTGCCTGGTCTACAAAGCAAACTCCAGGACAACTAGGGCTGTTACACAGAGAAATCTTGCCTTGGTTAAAAATAAAAAAGCCAATGTGGATGATTGGGTTAGATTATCATGAATTCACCCTGTTTTGTTCAATGTCTGATTTAGACAGGTGGCAGGTCCAGAGTGTATGTAATTTGAACAAAAGCTCCCCTAAATAGTCTGGTATTTCTCTATTCTCTCTGACCCAAGCATGGGGCCTGTTCTTTCCTTCATTCTACACCTTACTTTTCCTTTTTACATGAAGAAAAATGCTTGACATCCATCCTGGAATCCTTTCTCCTGTTTGATTTTTCCTTAATTATAAGATATCATGCATATAATTAACTGTTCCGCCTCATTTAGACTGCAGGTAACTGCCCAGAGCACAATCTAAGATTATTTTGATGAGTACTGTAATAATCAAATTTCTGTTTTTACATTTTCTTTCTTCTAGAAAGAAAATTTGGAGTACTAGTCATCAAATAGCTTTTCTCCTTTTGCTATGCAATACTATTTCCACATTTCTCAATTTGCCCTACAGGACCTTGGACATTCCAGGAAAGGGCTTTCCCACTGAGTTACACCCCAGCTAGTGTTTACTCTTGTACCATTAGCACACTGTAATTATTACTATACAACATTGTGATAAATCTGGGTGGTGTAAAGAAGGTTCTAACTTGGGTCTTATTAGATTTCCTTCATGAAATTTGCTCTTGCTATTCTTGGCTCTCTGCACTCATTAGAATTTTAGTATCAATTTATCAAGTTTAAAATAAAAAATATAATATATAATAACAGCATTCTCTGCTAATGCAATTATGACTAAAACTGGCATACTAGTTGCTTTTCTATTGTATTGATAAAAGACTATGGCCAAAGAAACTTATGAAAAAAAAGGTTTTTTTTTGGGTTTATGGTCCTAGACTGATTAGAGTCAATGATGTTGGAGCAGAGAGAGGCAGCAGGTGTCAGACACGGCTTCAGGAACAGAAACTGAGGACTCACATCCTGAAACACAAGTACAAAGCAGAGAGAGTGAACTAGGAATGGTGGAGTCTTTAAACTCTCAAAGCCTGCCCCCTCCACCACTGGTGATATACTTCTACTAGCAAGGCCATACTCTCTAAACCTATGAAAACAGCATCCAGCTGGGTGCCAAATATCCCAACATCTGAGACAATGAAATAAGTTCCTATTCAAACCATCACAAATGGGATGAGAACGGGTGGGGCACATACAAAGATGTGAACAATAGTCCCAGCAGTCCAATAGGAGCAACTGATATTGGTAGCAGTATTATGGGGCAACCACTGTGTATGGAAAGTTTTGAAACTACAAACATAAAACCAATGACAGATATCACTAGCACCCAGAAGATTGTGTGAAATGAAGGCTCAGAAATATGACTAATTTTTGTACAAGGACAAGAAACATAAGATGATTCTAGGATGGTTTTTGTCATTACTAAAGTGTCAAGCCAGAATGAATCAATCTGAAGATGCTTCCTATGACCAAAATGAGTCAATTAAATATGTCTGTATCTGTGAGCTTGTAATAATTCTAGCTGTTAATGTATCATAGTTAGAGTCTGCCATTAACAGGACACAAACCTAGAGTCTCCTGGAAAGAGGGAAACTCAGCTGAGAAATTGCCTCCATTTAGTTTGCCTGTTTGCCATGGCTGTGGGGACTTTTACTGATTTCTAATTGTTGTAGGAGGTCCAGCCCATTGTGAGTAGCACAACCCCAGGTAGAGGTGTTTGGGCTATATAAGAATCCTGGCTAAGCACAAGACACAGAGAGTGAGCAGCAGTCCTTCAGGGTCTCTGCTTCAGCTCTTGCTTCCACCTGCTGTTAGATGTGTGAACTCTCAGCTTCCTGCCCATACCTGCCACTTGCTGCTATGCCGGGATGGTGGACTCTATCCCTCTGGAACCACGAAACAAAATGCTCTTTCTGCTGTTACGTTGCCTTGGTCACGGTGTTCTGTCCCAGCAGGAGAAAAGTAACCAACACAAGCACCTACTGAGCCTGAGGAGGAAAAGAGAAGCTCACATCACACACAGTCAAACAATCATTCTTCATATTTCAGCTCTCTGTCTTTCTGTATCACTAAGAGGAAATGGTCTGCCCTGTTCCTGGAAATGAAGATTGATATTTGACCCTGTCCTAGAATGATTGGCATTGGCACTATCCGTTCCCTGCACTGAGAATTTGTACTTCCATTTAAAAGGTGGAATCTAACCTTTAAGGCCCCAGAAAAAAAGTCACAACAGCTCTTCTTATCCTTCCTCCAAAATTAATCTTTCTCAAGTCCACTCTGACAGGGCTCTCTTCTTGAGGTTTCACTGAAACAGCTTGTATCAAGATCACCAATGATCTACATGTTACCAAATCTAAATGGCTGGCAATTTATCCCAAGTTTGACTTATTATATGTGGACAATAGTATATTAGAGATAATAACATTTGAGCCCAATACTGCATTTATGAAAATCACTTGTTTGTTTGAATGAATGGTTAAGGTCACCTTTATATCTGAAAGCATTGTTTTTTCTAAATTTAAATTATAAACAATCTTATTTTATACATCAATCTCAGTTCCCTCTCCCTCCCATCTCCCCATGCCCCCCACAGACCCCCATCCCATCCCTCTGCTCCATAGAAAGGGTGAGGTCTTCCAAGGGGGATCATCAAAGTCTGTCACATCATTTGGGGCAGGGCCTCGACCCTCCCCCGTGTGTCTAGGCTGAGAGAGTATCCCTCTATAGGGAATAGGCTCCCAATGTCCATTTGTACACTAGGGATAAATATTGTTCCACTATTAGAGGTCCCATAGACTAAAGCATTGTCTTTTTATTCTGAAGTATTATTAAGATGTATGATACATGGGGTCTATTTTAAAATTGTTTTTCTGTTATAACTGCTTTCCCCTCAAATCCTGTGCAAATAAAAGCTTCAGAATAAAGGAAATCTCAACAGAACTGAATTAGGCCCTCTGCGTGTGTAGCTTGGTCTATCTGAGGGGCCCCTGGCAGTAGGACCAGGACCTATCCCTGATGCATGAGCTAGCTTGTGGGAGCTCATTCTCTATGGTGGGATGCCATGCTCAGCCTTAATGCAGGGAGGAGGGACTTGGACCTGTTTCAACTTAATGGGCCAGGCTTTGTTGACTCCTCATGGGAGCCCTTGCCCTTTGAGAGGAGTGGATGCGGCATCTGGGAGGGAGGTAAGGGGGAGCAGGTGGAGAGGTGGGAAGGAGATAGATCTGAGGTTGGAATGTAAATGAAAATTTAAATACGAAGATAAATAAAAATAAATTAAAACTCCAATAACCCCCAAAAGATGTTATTTTCCATCTACTCTGTGACAAATCAGATCAAATCCCAAAGCCCTCTATCACATACTTGTTATAACTAACACCATTACTGATCTTTTAAAAAAATATTGTTTAGCCCTTAGCTCTGTCCATTAATCATATAATCTCATCTAGGTTTTCTAATATAACACTAACACTTCAGAGGTAATAGCAACACCAAAGTCTTTTGTTGTTATTTTTCTTTGTTGTCCATGATAGAAACCACACAAGTTGGTCACAATCAGTCTTTTCTCACCCTGGACCTGTGGAGAGTACATTTCCTGCTGCCCATTGCAGGTGATAAAGTTCCCACCGATGAACATGAACAGCGACTTTATGGTTCACTTCCAGGACTCACACATTAATACCTTCCTCTCCACCTCCTCCCATGTCTTTGTCTTTGGGGCTGACTTGGGCGAAGACCCTTCAGAAACAAATACCAATTTGCCATCAGACCTGAATTTGTGAAAAACTGAGACACCAGAGCAGATAACCTGGAGTCTTTGCCAGAAGAAGGTATTTTTATTTAAGCCATTAATTTTTGGAGTCCCTTTGCTTAGCATTGTCCCTAATCAACATAGGGAGGACACATAACAGTGAATGACATAACACCTAAATATATGGTATTAGCTTGAGGTGTACACTGAAGCGGGAAGAAAATGAACATCGAAAACTAGAAAACTAGAGTCCCTGTGTTAACCATGGAGGAAAACACACACACACACACACACACACACACACACACACACACACACACACACACACACCTTCTATGCTTCCTTGGAAAACATACCAAGAACTCCCAGATTCCATAGCTCTAAGGTAATCAGCTACAAGAAATAAACATGCTAAAGTATGTTGGCCCCTGTTTGTTACTTTTAGATAAATATTACAAGAAAGAGATGGAATCAGGTAAGAACTGGCTACATTGTCATTTGAATTGGAAAAAAATCACAAGAGGGAAAATAAATAAAAACTTCAAGGCTTCCCAGGGCTGGAGAAACTAGTAGTTTCTGTACCTCAAATAGCTGAAGACATTTAGGCCACAAATAAAAGGAAATCCCACCCCATGATACAGATAACATCAAGGACAGTGTTTTTGTAAAAGCCTGTCTCAGCACTTCAGTGGGTATTCTATAAAAGGTCTAGAAAATAATCTGTGGTCTATTTAGCAGTGTGTGAAACTGGGAAGAAGTAGGTCAGAAGCGATGAAATTTTCAAGAAAAATATGATGCCTAAGAAACCACAGATGGACTATGTAAAATCACCCTCACACAACAGAAAACGGGCTCTGAAAAACCACCAACTCCTTATAACGTACTCCCCCCCCCAATACCTACCTCCCACATAGCCATAGAGCAGTGGGTCTATCATCCCTTTGGGGGTAGAAAGGCCCTTTCACAGGGGTCACTGAAGACCATCGGGAAAAAAACATACATTTACATTATACTTCATAGCAGTAGCAAAATTGTAGTTTTGCAGTAGCAACAAAAATAACTTTATAGTTGGAGTTACCACAAAATGAAGAACTGTATTAAAGGGTCACAGCATTAAGAAGGTTGAGAAGCACTGTTTTTGAGCTTGGCATTCTTCACAATCAATGACACCTCTGTCCTGTTTTGCTCCATCCTGGTTGAGCTAATATTCTGACCAAAAACAACTTGGAGGAGAAAAAGGTTTAGTTGGCTTACAGCTTACAGTCCATCACAGAGGAAAACCAATGCAGAAGGAACTCAAGACAGGACCTGAGGTGGAGACCATGGAGGAATGATGCTTATTGGCTTGCTTCCCCTGGGTTACTCAATGGTTTCTTATCCAAGCCAGGTTCACCTGCCTAATGATGTCACCACCCACAGTGGGCTAGGGCCTCCTGTATTGATTAGAAATTAAGAAAATGCCTGAGAGATGTTGCCACAGACAAGTCTAATGAAAACAGTTGTTCAGTTGAGACCATCTTTTCTAGATATTTCTAATCTGTGTTAAGTTCATAAAGACTAGCCTGTGCACCTCACCAACAGAATCTACCATTGCTATGGATTAGGGACTGTTTTCAGAGTCTGCTGTGGTATCCTGTCTATTTCTTTATTGGACAGAACTTGGTAACTCATTTTTAGTCAAACGATATTAGACCTTGCAGAGCATCATTTAGACTTTGAGTGTCTTAGTTAGGGTTCCTATTGCTGTGAAGAAACGCCATGACCATGCCACTCTTATAAAGGAAAACACTTAATTGGAGCTGCTCACAATTAAAAGGTTTAGTCCATTATCATCATGACAGCAAGGCAGCATTCAGGCAGATATGATGCTGGAGAGATAGCTGACAGTTCTACATTCAGATCCAAAGGCAGCAGGAAGAGAGAGTGACACGGGTCTGGCTTGGGCTTCTGAAACCCCAAAACCTAGCCTCAGTGACACACATCCTCCAACAAGACCACACCACCCAATGGTGCCACTCCCTATGAGCTTAGGGGGACCATTTTCAAACTACCATATTCCACTCCATGGCCCCCATTGACTTGTAGCATTCAGTGAAACTTCAGAAGCCCCGACAGTCTGTCAGTCTCAACTCTGTTTAAAAGTTAAGAGAATGTTTGAATACCTTATAGACATCTAAGGTTTTTGAGATCAATGCAATAATACAGAAGAGGGAATAGATATTTCTTCCCTGAGGAATTTTTGAATATGTTTGAGGTAGGGAATGATGGACTTAGGAACCATCTGTGAAATGCTAGCTGTCAACCAAAAATCCATTCTCATTTTCTCCAGAGACACAGATTTTATTTCTTAGCTCCACATGTAGGAAAATGGCTAAGTTTTCTTTAATAGAATATGATCACATACCATTTACCCTTGGCCCATGAAAGTCTCTCACGCTCATCCTAATATGTCCTTTCTTCTTACAGGTTTACTGAAGTTGTTAAGCTTTGAAATCCTCTAGATGCTGGATGTTGGAGATAGCATCATCATTACTTGAGCCCTTTAATGACCACAGGGGAAAGAAAAGTTTCCATCATTCCAGATCTTCTCGTAATGACTTCTCAGAAATTTGAAAATTTTAACTTCATTTCACATATTCTAATATGCCATATGAAAAAGTAGCAAAGTTTGCTTTTGTGGACGTTGCTAACCTTTTCAATAAAGACTAGAGTTGATGCACAGAATCCAGTATTGCTACAGTGCCTTTGATAGCATACCTGTTGGCCAGCTTAGATTGCACAGTCCCTTCTTGTGACTATCTTTAATGAACACAATCTTTATTCTCCTGCCCCTTCTTTCTTTCTTCTCTCTCTGCTTCCGTGCCCTCTGTTGTACTCCCCCATCAAAACTCCAGCTCTGGTTTCATCCAGTTCTGCTTCCTCCGACACTCACAGACTCCTGTGGCTAGCTTCCACTTTCAATTCAAGACTGCTGGTATAAAATAAGATCATAGTACAACCCCAGCAACCACACTGCAGTTTCATAGTGCATCCATTCACCCAGTGTCTCACACAGCTATTTCATTCTTTCTCTTCTCTCCAGACACCTCCAGTTCCTCCTTCCTTCTCTTCTTCCTCTTCCTCCCCTCTCTCTCTCTCTCTCTCTCTCTCTCTCTCTCTCTCTCTCTCTCTCTCTCTCTGCTGATAAGTTTAAATTCCACTTCAATAAGAAAATAGGCATGATCAGGGAGAATCTCCATTAGCTTTCCCTGCCTTCTGTGCTGCCCACCTGCACCTGTTCCTGGGCAATTTGCCTTCCCTCCTGTGTGAATTGTCTGTGCTCCTTTGGAAAGCCAAATCCTCCATATGTGCACTGGGCACCATTTCCTTGCTTCTACTTAGGGCTTATACTCCAACTGCTCTGTCCTCCCTCTCCGACATCATCACAATTCCTCTCCATGATGGAGCTTTCTAACATCATTGCACAGAACATCTTGCAACCTATCCTGGTTAAAAAATATGGAGTTAAAAAAATTGAGTACACATTAGCCCTCAACTTCCATCCTATTTTCTAGATTTTTAAAAGATATATTCCAGTAAGTAACAATTTACATTCCTTTCTCTTCCTTCCTATAATCTTATTCTTTTCTGAGCCCAATCCAGGCAGGTTTTCCTCCTCGAGATGTGACTGAAGCAGCTTGGATCAAGATCACCAGTGATTTTCACATTATCAAACGCAGATGGCCAATTATTTATTCCCCTCTCATTCATCTCATCACCATCATTTGATATAGCCTACTATTCATTTTTATTCTGTGATATTTTATTCTCTGGTCTTCCACAGACCCCTATTTTGTGGTTTTGTGCCCTTTTTTACTAAGGATTCCTTTTGAATGTAAAGCGACCTTTAAAATGTTGGAGTGCCCCAGCCCTTGTCCTTTGTATTTGTGTTTTGCACACAAAATTCCTTTTCTAGATTTTGTCAAAGTTTGTAGCCTTTATCAGATGTCTACAGATGGACCCCGAATTTCTACTTCTAAGCCAGACATTTCTGTTAACTTCAGGCTTGCCTAGCCAACTGCCTTCTTGACATCCCAACTTAGATGTCTAGTAGTTATTTCAAAATTGACATTCTAAAATATCAAACCACTGATTGTCTTTTCCCTCAAGCCAGCTTAATTCAAGTGGCACATTATAATCACTTAATTGCCAGCATTCATTAGACTTAACTGTTCCCCTCTTCTAAAGCCTTATAGCCAGTCATCAGCACATTCTGGTTTGACTGTCTCAAACTATGTCCAGAATCGGACTACTTCTCACAACCTTCATCGACATGGTATCTCACCTCGATCATTACAATAGTGTCTGTGGCCCAGACTAATCATCCAGCCCCCCAATCTCCTAATTTTCTTTTTCCACATGAGAGTAAGTTTTCCTTGGGATGTCTGGTCCTCCAGGATGTAGATGATGCTTCTTAACATTTTTTTGCAGCTCAACATGATTTCTTGGGTCTTCCTTAAAAGATAGGTCAGAAGGACCTTTTGTTGCTGTTCAACTACCCTGCCCCTATCCTATTTTCTAAAACCAAGGTGACTTCTTAGGCTATAGAGACACCCTTGTGTCTACTTTCTTCTGTCTGCATTTCTGTGAGCATTGAGTTAGGAAGATTTTGAGTCCCTACAGCCCATGGAAAAACATTTTCCATCCATCTTTGGCGTACATAAACTCAGTTGGACTGCAACGCCACTACTGAACTTTGTCTATGCCAAAGGTCTTTCTAACTTGACTTCTTATTTCTTCTTTTGCTCCTAGTATCCCCATAGCATCAGCCAGAGGAATCCCTTAATTCTCTAGTTTATAAACTGGAATGACTTGTATTCATAAGTTTATTTTTTTTTTGGTTTTTCGAGACAGGGTTTCTCTGTAGCTTTGGAGGCTGTCCTGGAACTCACTTGGTAGACCAGGCTGGTCTCGAACTTACAGAGATCCTCCTGCCTCTGCCTCCCAAGTGCTGGGATTAAAGGCGTGTGCCACCAACGCCCGGCTTCATAAGTTTAATTTTATATATGAATGTTTAATTTATGTACATCTTTTAATTGGAGCACTTAAATCCCTTGGTCACTGTCCTCAGAGCCCTCTTTTTGCTCTTCTTGCTGCTCCTGTTGTGTTCTCATCGAAACCTTTGAGATATTTCTGTGTCTATCCTCCGTCTTTCTCTTCTTCCTTCATTCTCATCTCTGTCCAGTCTTCGCCACGTTCTTTCCACTCTGGATGGCATGATCCATGTTGTCCTGTAACTCATTCTTGTGCTTCTTTAAGGTGGTACCCAGATGTCACCTTATCAACCAGGCCCTTTCTGACTACTTGGCCTGCATCATTACTGTCACCACAAAAACAAGCCTCATAGAAACTAGAATTAGCATCTTCTTTTTGAGAAAGCAATTTCTTGAACTATGCTGAACCCAAATTATCACTGAGCCACAGTGGATTTAAGTCAGAGATTTAAGACCCAGGTGTGGCTTGGGGGTGGGAGGGCTTTATTTATTATTCTCTTATGATTCCTATTAAGACATTAACCCCATTCACAGACATCCATAGTGGATGTTACATTTGGTTAATATAGACTTAGTTTCAAATACCACCACTCCAATACCATCCTCCCAGGTCTTTCCCCATACCCACCTCCAGCCACCACCCAGCTGATGGTCATCCTTCTCAACAAAATGCATAAAGCTTCTACTTGCAAGAAATGAGATAGCATAGGTCACAGACCCAATTTTACAAAGAAACACTCAAAAGAGAAAGGGGGAATTTTGAGATCCAAAGAAATCAGCTCCCAGTGAGACATCACAGGAATCAAGAGGCATTTAGATAATAACTTTCCATATCTACTGTTCTGAAAGCCCATCATCTCCACCAGAGGACTTCGCAAAGCCATATGACTCATTCCAGGAGAGCTGTTTGCTTTGGATCAGAATCCAAGTCTGTTTTCTTTTGAAATGTCAATATAGGACAACCAGACCTTGAAGATATACAGAGATGACTACAAACAAATCAATCTTCCCTAGGAAAGGATCTAGCCTGGTTCCAAGGAATATTTGATACAACAGGAAGGTCAATTACATTATTTAGTTGGCAAATGAATTATTTGCAAGTCACTAATGGCATAAATATGAAACATTATCAGTTCAGGTTGTTCATATTCTTTCAATGTGAAGAGTTAATAAAATATTTATGTGGAGCCTGGGTGTGTCTATTACGTATTTATGTTTAGTCTTTATTTTTAATAAGTACTGCCGACTGACTTTATGCTGTTTAATAATTGCTTTCAAAACTAAGTTTTTGGGAAAGACTCTTTGCATGGAACTCTAGAACTTTCTGTTGATCAGTTTTCCAAGATTAAGAATTATTGCAAAACTGTTCCATTTATTTGTTTATTTTGTGTGTATATGATCATGTGCATGTTTGCATGCTGCTGTGAGTTGTGCATTCATGTGTGTATGCACACATGTAGAGGCCCGCCATACATTCACAGTGTCTCTTTCCCACTTATTCACTACCTTTTTAAAACACAGTCTCATATTGGACCTGGAGCTTGCCTATTTGGCTAGATTGGATGGCCAGTGAGATGCAGAGATCTGGATGTCTCTGCCCCCACAGCAATGGGAGTATAAGCACAACCACCATGTCTGGACGTTTCAATGAATGCTGGCAGTCCAAGACTCAGGTCCACATGCCTACTTGGCAATCTATTTACCAATGAAGTCCTCTCACCAACCACCATTTTGTTTTCATTCAGCAATATGATGAAATAGGTATTTATCTAGCATTAACAGTCATTTTCCTAGGTGCAAAAGCAAAAGGGCAAAGGCTTTATTTTGTTTCAAGGAGGGAGAGGGTGAACATAGTGTGGAAAAAAGTAAAGGTAGGGGTGGTGTGCCTGTATCAGCAGCATGTGGAGCTTGGTAAGATGAAGGGGTTGATAGGTACAGAAACCCACAGATCAACCATAATTAATTAATCTACAGTTATACTTGCTCTGTAGCTATAGGATAAGGTGGTGTGTGGGCATGTATATCTAATCTCAGTATCTCACAAATGGTTGCTTTACGGTATGGTGGTTAAAGACAGTTGAACAAGGGAAATGCTTTGAGATACAGGTCTTTGCTTTGATTTCTTCTCTCTAAAATGTTGGAATGAACACACACACACACACACACACACACACCTTGAAGAGTGTTTAACTTTCCATTATCTAAAGCAAATCAGACATCTGCACAGAGCAAGCTGGTCTTGTTGAGAAATGAGTCTAAAAGATGAAATGCTTTCTGAAAAGGTTTTAACAGAATGGTGGCTCCTCTCAGTGTCTTTAGAAAACCAATGACCCAAGTTCCCTTGTATTCTCCTGGGGTTAGATGTCCATCTAGTCATCTGGGGTAGTGTCTGCAGCCTGTTCTACACTGGCAGAGTTTCTTCAGGTCTGCTCTGTCTCGGGAGTTCCAGAAAGATGGCATCTTTACTCACAGAGCTTGTTTACACTGAGCAAAGGCATAAATGTACATACCCAAAAGGCTGCCCCTAATATCTCTGT